GTCTCCGGCAATTCACGGCAGGCAGCCCAGCTCCAGGTTGAGCTGTTGTTCAGCATCTTAGCTGTGGAGGGCAGTGTCACCGGGGCCCTCTGGTGTCCCAAGCCAGTTCTTAACCATTGCGCCACTCGGCCGGACCCTCTGCCATTTTTTAATTGGATTGTTTCGTTGTTGAGTTGTATGAGTTCTTTATATATTTTGGATATTAGCCCCATCATTTGGAAAAAATCTTCCATTCAGTTGTTTGCTTCTTTGTTTCATTGTTTTCTTTTGCTGTGCAGGGGCTTTTTGGTTTGACGTAATTCCATTTATTTTTGTTTTTGTTTTCCTTACATTTGAAGTCAAATTCACATAAAAATTTCTGAGATCAATGTCCAGAAGCTTAGTGTCTATGTTTTCTTTTATGTATTTTACTGTTTCAGGTCTTACATTCAAGTCTTTAATTCATTTGAGTTAATTTTTGTGTATGGTGTAAGACAGTGGTTTAGTTGCATTCTTTTGCATATGGCTGTGCAGCTTTCTCAAAACCATTTATTAAAGAGACTTTCTTCATTGTATATTCTTGGCTCCTCCATCGAAAATTAGTTGCCCATATCTGTGTGGGTTTATTTCTGGGCTTTCAATTCTGTTCCATTGGTCTGCTTTTCTACCAATGCCAAACTGTTTTGATTACTACAGCTTTGTAGTATAGTTTGAAGTCAGAGACTGTGGTGCCTCTAGCTTTCTTTTCTTCTTCTCAGGACTACTTTAGCAATTCAGGGTCTTTTGTGGTTCCACACAAATTTGAGGATATTTGCTTCTATCTCTGTGAAAAATGCCATTGGAATTCTGCTAGGGATTACACTGAATCTATAGATTGTTTTAGATAATATGGACATTTTAACAATGTTAATTCTTCCAATCCATGAACACAGATTATCTTTCCATTTCTTTGTGTCTTCTTCAGTTTCTTTCAAGTGTCTTGTAGCTTTATAAGTATAGCTATTCACCCTAAGTTATTATTTTTGTTTCAAATCTAAATGGGACTGCTTTATTTCTCTTTCTGTTATTTTGTTGTTGGTATACAGAAATGGAACACATTTTTGTATACTGACCTTGTATTCTGCAACTTTATTGTTTCTAAGTTTTTTTGCTGGAGTCTTTGGGGTTTTCTCTATATAAAGTCATGTCATCTGCAAATAGTTTTACTTCTTCCTTTCCTTTCCAATTTGGATGCCTTTTATTTCTTTTTCTTGCCTAATTGCTCTGGCTAGGACTCCCAGTACGATGTTGAATAACTGTGGCAAGAATGGGCATCCTTGTCTTGTTCCTGATCTCAGAGGGAAAACTTTCAGTTTTTCACTGTTGTGTATGGTATTAGCTGAGGGTCTGTCATATGTCCCCTTTATTATGTTGAGGTACTTTCCTTCACATTTTATTGAGCTTGTTATCATAAATGCATGTTGTTTCTTGTCAAATGCTTTTTCTGGATCTATTGA